CTTGGAGCTGTTTCGATCGAGAAAAGAGAAGGCAGTGAGGTGGTTTGGCTGGCTGTTTCTGGTCGGTTTGGAGGTGTGTGAGGGTTGTTAATGGAAGAGAAGTGAAGGGAAGAAGAAGATGGGGTTGGGGTCTTGTGGTCGTTTCTGGTGACTTTTTCACCGCAAAATGGAGAAAAACGAAGGGGTTTTGGTGGCTGCGTTGTGGGTCTAGTTTCTGATTGGTTTTTCTAATTTTAGGCGGTTGTTCACTGGTTGTGAATGGTGGTCTGGAAAGGTGTTGTGTTGGTGAGGAAAATGGTTGGAGAAGAAGAGCAAAATGGGTCCGTTTTGGGTGCTCTTGCCGGAGGCAGTGTCGAATGGTGCTTGCTGGTAGAGTTTTGGTGACTGTTTCAGGCGGCTTTGGGGGTCATTTGTTTCGTCGGAAAGAAGAAAAAGAGGCGTTGTGGAGGAGAGGAGAGGCGGTGAGGAATGGAAGCGGAGCTGATGTGATTTCTCCGGAAAAAGGAGAAAAATAAATGGGGTTTTGGATTGTCGGAGCTTTGCCGAAATCCGGGGTGGTGGTGATCGGAAAATTAATAAAAATGAAACCCCTTTGTGAATAAAAATCTGAAAATTTTCAACCATAATCTAAAAATGTTTCACCATCCTAACTTAATCACTAAGAAATAACTAAAATAGAAAAATCGAAAACCACCTATAGTACAATACGTGATCTTAAAATTATGGGTCGAAATTGCTAGTTAAATAAAATATGTGTATGAAATCTTATTTATATTTGAATGAATTTCTAGACTGTGCAAAATATCAAAATGAATAAATATTTGAACGTATTCAACCGGCTGTGACAAAAATAATGTAATTAAAATTAACTGATAAAAAATTCTAAATTTTGACGAATAAGGATAGTTATCGATATACTTATTTAAAATTATAAAAAATATATTTTGAACTATTAAATAAATAAAATTTAAAAGTTACGAATTTTGAAAATGTTAGGCCAAAATTGGATGTCAACACTGACAACTTTCAATAACTTCCACTACTAAAGAACTCTTAAAACAACATTTATAACATCATCTTTAACAGTAGACCAATGCTGCATGAAGAACTCCACTGGGAAACCATTAATGTCTGGGGTTTTATCCTTAGCCATCCCTTCCATTGCCTTAATTATCTCTTTGTCTCTGATTGGAACTATGAGCAGACATCTTTGTTGGTAGGATAGGCAAGGACCCTTCCTTATGACTCTATTCGCTTTTCTGATTGATATATAAAATAATAGAACCTCTACATTTGGACTTCGAAGGTCTCAGTTGCTATACCCATAAGGCTGGAGAAGAAGGAGATGAATTCCTCCTCCACAAGAGCAGGTTCCTACAATTTAACCCAATTAGCATTGTAAATAGAATTAATAGCATTCCTACTAATCCTTATCTTCATTTGGGCATGGAAATATTTGGTGTTTGCCTCTCCGCCAACTATCTAGTTTACTCTGGATTTCTGTTTGAGAACATGTTCCTCCACTCCACTCCACTTCCTAATTTCATTTAATACCATTTGTTCCTACTCAAGCAAGTCAGTGTTGAGAGGTTGTGCTGCAATTTGACTCTGCATTACCTCTAGACTCTATCTAGCATGTTGTATTTTTTGGGTATAGGATGTCATGTAGGCATTGAGATCCTCCAAGCCCATTTTTAGAGCTTTAAGCTTGCTCCACAACTGAAACATTCTTGTACCAACAACTTTCCCACTCCAAAGGACTGACAATATTCTGGAGAAATCAGGATGATCCAGAATAGATTTAAACAATCTAAAAGGTTTTGGTCTGGATGGAGGTCTTGTATTCACCTGAATGAGAATTAGGGAGTGATCAGGTACTCCTGGATTCAAGAACTCTGCTTCTACGTGTCCATAATCCATTATCCACTAAAAGTTCCCCAGGACCCAATCAATTTTGGAATAAACTCAATTAACATCATGTTGTTTATTACAAAAAGTGAAGTGCCATCCTATTTGCTTTAGTGTTGTAAGTTGCAGAGTATCAATACAATCTTGGAAAGCTTGCGTCTCTTCTAGCATAATAGGGGAGCCTAACCTGTCATCAGTAGTTAAAACATTGTTGAAATACCCACTTAGCAACCAAGCCTCTTAGATAGTACCCCCCAATCTATACTAATTCTCTCCATAGGTCCTCTCTTTGCTGACTTTCATTCTTGGCATAAACAACAGTAAAGTAGGCTGAGAAGGGACTAGTTGTGTCTGAAATTTTACAGTGGATGCATTGCTCATGAACAATCAATACATGTATTTGTATATGATCTTTCCATAGTAACAAGACTCTACCATTATAAGCCATAGGATAGTTTGGACAATGCTTCCAATCAGGCACCATCTTCTCCAAAATATTCCCAGCTTTGTGAACTTTTACTCTAGTTTCAACAACTCTCATAACATCTACCTTATTCTTCTTTCGAAAAAGTCTCAGCTCTTTCTGCTTTAAGGGCTGGTTAAGCCCTCTTATGTTCCATGTTGAGATGATCATTGAGGGTTGTAATTGCCCCCAGGACCTCAAGCTTCCCGGAGAACGTTATAACTATTTGTGATTTGTACTCTTGCATTCACTTGCATCGAATTAGGAGTAATACCTTGTCCTGAGCTTGCAGGATCAGAATTAGCCCCTTTCCCGTCCTCCCTGTCTGGTTTGCTAGCAACTTGCCTCGTCTGTACAATTTTCCCCATAGCCTTCCAGTCGTATCTTGGTTGTGGAGCTTATTGTCTTTTGTATCTACGTTTCTTCTTCTTAACTTCCTGAAATTGAGGTTCTTCTTGCTTTTCCTTAGCTTGCTTTCCCTCAACCTTAGTCCAACATGCTTCAGCACAATGCCCAAATTTCATACATTCAGTGCAAAACTTCGGACACCAATCATATTCCACTGCCTGCGGGAAGAATCTTATTGTCATCACCATTTCTATGGAATCCAACAGAGGTTGTGATACATCTATTTCAACAAGAACTCTGGCATACGAAATTCTAGCCATTGTAGCAGTAAAGCTATCAGTGTAGAGAGGTTTCCTTATTGCACTCGTAACCTTGCTCAAAACTTCACTAGACCAATACCCTACCGGCAGCCCTGGAAATGTGATCCACAAGGTATAGTAGTGATACAATCACGATTGAATTCAAAATCTATATCTCAGTTCTGCAGCACAAAGGGTTTGTTGAAATACGTATACGGACCATCTTGCATTACTTTGTCTCGTTCTTTAATAGTGTCGAATCTGAAAAGAAAGTATCCCTCATCATGTAACAAGATCTGTGAGTTTTTCACGTACTTCTAATTGTGCACCACGAAATTTTCCATTGTTTTCATATATGGGGTATCACCGATAACATACCCAATTAGGGTTGACTTCCAGTAATCTACTTGTTCTATAAAGTCTTCTTGTTTAATACTCACATAAATTTTTCCTTCGTTAGAGTTGGGTGGTACATAAGATAACATTTTACCTTGCTTCACCTCCCTATTGCCCTCATAAGCCAGCTTTTCCAGCGGTGTCGGCTGACTTGAGGAGTGCTCTTCCGAAAATTGTAGTCTTCGAGCTACTTGGTATGAACCAGTTTCATATGTCTCCAGTTGAACTGACCCAGAATCAGATTCATCTCCTTCGTCCTCTTCTATAATAGTTTGAAATCAAGCTGGGAGGAAGCTTCCAAATCTTAGAGGTCTTAATCTACTCTCCAGCGTGACTAATTTTGTCTCCGATCTAAATTCCTTATAGAACTTTCCTGACTTTTCATCATGAAATTGCTGATGGGCATTTTATTTCGATAAGAATTAGGTTATGGAGTTGGTCTTTACTTCATCTAAATGTCAAATCAACTAATGTAGACTTATAGTATATGTATGTATATATATACAAAAATGAACTTTTTAAAGTAATTCTGCAGGGAAGTGGTTACCAAATTTCTGCATCAAAAAGGGCAGTAAGAGATTCAGCTGTTCGTTGTAGGCTAGGTTGGCAGGAGCAACACCTTCTTGGTTATGGTGAGGTTGCTGAGCCAATTGTAAAGGTCTGCTGCTGAATCCTTGTAGAGGTCTTTGGGCATTGATTTTCTTATGTTTGATCCTGTTTATTGCCATGTACAAGTAATTTTGGTGATTTTTATCTTTTATAGGACAGGAATGCCACAATACGCCAAAGCGTGCAAAGAGCATCAAAAATACTGGTAAGATTGTTCGTTAATTCTTTGCCAACATGACTTCTTCATATATCTCTATCATTGAGTTGTTTTCTCCTCATCATTTCCCAATATGAAGTCTAGCACTCTCCAAAACTTTGGCGCTGTTAGTTAACACTATAACTATATCAGGATCATCATTCGAGAACTTTAGTTTTTGCTTTAACTCATACTCTTATCAAAAAGGAATAGTGACCGCAACAAAACTTCTTGTTGTATTCAGGTTCTCTTAAATCATCATATACTCTTATATATAATTATAATTAACAAAAGAAATGTATAGTTAATATATATATTGGAGTGCCAAAGACTTTCATCTTTTCAATTATAGAGAAAAATAATTAGTTTTATACAAGACATATTAAAGGAACAAAGTTACAATATTTTAGTGATATCATGAATTTTGAGTGAATAAAAGTTGAGAGTTTAACCCATTTGGCTAATCCATATTTTACCCATATTTTACCCATATTTTATCCATATTTTACCCATATAAAAATTCACACACCCAACCCATTAAAATATGAGCGGGTTTGGCGGGTTACCAAAATATGGGCTCAGTTTGCCAGCACTATTCATCACATATCCATCTATCTTTGAAAAGCAATCTAAGTTTCTACTAGGGCGGCTGAAGCCGAAATACCTCCTTTGCTATCTAGGCCAATTCAAAGTTTTTGACCCCAGTATCTTCAACAACAACAACTAAACAGTTATGGCCAAGCATTCACAATGTTGGCCAACTACCAATACTCCTACATTGTCAACTCAGATTTTGCTGCGCAAAGGGCACATGAACATGAAGACACCCATGAAGGCTGACAACAGCGTTGGTCTGAAGTTGATCAATTCTAGCAGGTAAGTTGACCACCTGAAAAAAAAATTATGTCAGGCCAACTTACAAATGGAGATCCTTTTATTGTCGTAGATTTCTTAGAGTGTTGTGATCAACAAATAGAAACGTAACAACGATATAGTTTTCAGATCCATTGAAGAAATATCAAGTTTTCGGCATGACAGTTTCTCTTTACCAGTCCAAAAATATGCAAGTAAGACAGAGATTGAATTACTCTATCAAAGTCAAAATCAGTAAAATAAATAGCAAGGTGTGTACCTTCTTGAAGCCAGTAACACCCCAAAGATTGTCAAGTTGGTTTGGCTGACCGGTAATGACCAGGCGACTAGCTAGATCATATTGAACCCGTACCTATGTTTACCAAGAAATAAGGGAATTAGAGCTTTGAGATGGTTAAAAAAGATGAAAACAAAAGGCAAAAGAAACACAAGTTGAAACAATTATTCATCAAATCTCTTGTGGTCTAATGATGCTAAATCATTACCTTTGAGGAAATTTTTACAGAAAAACTGAAATGACTCACTAAAATAGTAAAATACAAGTTTGTAAAAGCTAGCAGATTATTCAAGTCGCCGTCAGAAGTTACAATAGTGCAAACATAAAAAATAAAACATTAACACCAGATTTTTTGGAGATGCATATCTTTTTATAAAGTTGAATAATGAACTTATAAAAAATAAAATATTAACACCATCTATTAGAAGGTTGTTTTGTCCTTTCAATGAGATGAAGCTAACACTGAAAACTTAACCTTAATCCAAACACCAATTGCAAAAAAGAGAAACTCAATGATTCCAAGCAATAATACAAACACATCAACAAGTCATGAGAGTACACACAAGAAAACAAATTGAATGCACTTGATGGAAAAAAGTAGCACGATTGGTATTATACCTCATCTCGTAAAAGCCCAGGCACCAGTGCATAGACCTTAAAGGAATCATTCTGTTTGCATAAAATTATTACAAATCACATGAGATAAATGGAATACATAATCTAGAGGTTCTTAATTCTTTTACTTCTGAGAGGAACTTACTGTTTCACGAACATTGATTTTCACCCAATCAGCAGGGGGTCCAACATCAACAACTTGGACATCCAACCTGGCGGATGGAAAGCAATTTATCTTTACATCCAAAATGGAGGAACCAAAAACAGAGAGAGATAGAGAAATACTATTGAAGTTCCTAGTACTTTTTTTTATTTTTGGTGATAAAAACTGCTGGTGTACAAGATATCTATTCAAATTTCTAACAATAGTATGCGTTTTCTATCATGTAGTAAGCCTACTCACTACGAAGTTGGTCTTGAGAAGAATAATAATCTAGAGAGATCAAAAGTTAGAGAATGCATGTAAGTGATGTCCTCTGCCCGACGGCTCCTAATCCCAATGATTGTCGGATTACATTTTAAGGAAGTTGATTTTGCCTGTAGCATCCAACCCAAAAAAATAGATACACCGCTTGCTCCAAGAAAACAAACTATAAGTGGCATTGTATACAAAAATGGATAACCTACACAATAATTTCTCTACAACACCCACAAGGGTGACCGAGTTAGTTGAGAAGGGGATCTCCCAAATGGGGGTCTCTGGTTCGAAACTCCATGCACACTTTCTCAGTTGAAATCGTCATGGGGCTTGCTAGTGTGGTTTACCTCTCATGATTGGTTTGCTGGCTATTACACTGGAGCGAGATTTACCCCGGCCCTATGCAACGTCCAGAACCCAATATTATAAAGTTTTTAGTTTCTCTAGCACTAGAAATTCTCTATATTTTCTATTAACATGTAAGTCTAACAAGACTAACAGACTATTAGAGAGCATCAGAGCTAAAGTAAACATACTAACATGAGTTAAAATTGAATGCAATTCAAAGACCAATCCAACAGGCGACGAAAGAACTTATTAATAAACAAACAAATGCAATTTCAAATGCAGTTTCATTACCACTAGAATTTGTAATAAATCATTCTAGATTTCATCAAAATAACTTAAGATTGACTTGATTAGAGATAAAAACATTAGAAGAAAGGATTAAGATAAAGTACGACTTACTGCTTAGATGTTTCAGTTTCTGCAGCTTTCATTGGGTGCTCCACTTCATTTTATCCCAGGTGCTTATTAGAACCTGAATACAACAAGAAGTTCTGTTGCGGTCACTATTCCTTTTTGATAGAGTATGAGTTAAAACAAAAACTAAAGTTCTCGGATGATGATCCTGATATAGTTACAGTGTTAACTAACAGCCACTAAAGATCAAAGTTTTGGAGAGTGCCAGACTTCATATTAGGAAATGGTGAGGAGAAAACAATTCAATGATAGAGATATATGAAGAGGTCAAGTTGGCAAAGAATTAACGAACAATCTTATCAGTATTTTTGAGGTTCTTTGCACGCTTTGGCGTATTATTGGCACTCATGTCCTATAAAAGATGAAAAACACAAAAATTACTTGTACGTGGCAATAGACAGGATCAAACTTAAGAAAATCAACACCCAAAGACCTCTACAAGGATTCAGCAGCAGACCTTTACGATTGGCTCAGCAACCTCACCATTACCAAGAAGGTGTTGCTCCTGCCAGCCTAGCCTACAACGAGCAGCTGAATCTCTTACTGGCCTTCCTGATGCAGAAATTTGGTAACCACTTCCCTGCATAATTACTTCAAATAGTTCATATATATATATATATGTATACATATACTACAAGGCTAAATTAGTTGATTCGACATTTAGATGAAGTAAAGACCAACTCCAAAACCTAATTCTTATTAAAACAAAATGCCTAACTTCAGTAAATAATCAAATCAGAACAGTAAAGTTCATCAAAAGCTTTCTTCTAGATAAAATTTGATTTTGTTTCATTCAATTTTTTTTATTGTACCTTTAAATATGATGGTCCAATCTGACAACCCTTCAGATATTTCACCAGGGGCTGAGACTGGGAGATTGAGGTCTTTGACAACAATGCGACCAGCGGGAGCACTGAACTGCAAAGAGACACAAATGAGGTGTGCACCCACCAACTCCCTCTACAAGTAATCTCCTTCAGGAAGGACATACCAGTATTTTACTGATACAACATACCAATATCATTTCTAGTCCAACCCCACTTCCGTCAAGGACTTTAATATATGAATGTCCCATCACCATATGGCAAGCTAGTGCTACAAAGATAGGCTGGATTTTTATCATTCATGTAGTTGATAAAGTCTTTCCCTAGTGGCCCTTATCCAAAGTAAGGCCATACTGATTCCCGTCGAAGTCAACTAAAGAAGGATCCATGATCAACTTTGAGAACTTGATCGAAGTAGAAATACGTCAATGATTCTAACTACTTAAGGTATAGGCTTCCCCATATATCAATTAAAAGGTATACAATATATAGCAGATGTGAAGATACATCACATAACAACAATGTAAACACATCGTTACCTCATTATCAATACCTAAAAAACCAGGAGGAGGAGCAATAGGAAGTTGAAGCTCTCCGTTTTGTGTCCTATGCCTTTCGTATTGGAGAAGTATCTAACATACAGAGAAATCATGAGATAATAGAATGTACAGAAACAAAAAGTAAGAGACAGATAACTTTTTAGAATAAATTCTATTCAAAAGCACCATATAAGCATAGATACATGGAGATGATGTTTTTTAAACATCTAAGTTTGGCATTTCAAAATGTGGAAAGCTAAGGAGAAGTGGAGAATATATTCTCTCCAATAAGATAAAATGAGCCAGAATGTCCAGCTTCCATCCCACAGTCATATAACCTACTTTAAAAAATAAGAAAAGCAGAACCATGAAAATGAAAAGAAGCAAACACAAACTATTCAAGTGACTTTATAGGCCACAAAATACGGGTTGTTAGTAAAAGTTTTCTAAGTTAATACTTCACAAAGCACCCACCAATTTTTTTGATAAGGTGAAATAATTTGTTAATGATTGAGGAAATTCCCGTATACAATAAGTATACCAAGAAATAGAGAATCTATACAAAAATATGGTCCTCTACAAAAGACATTCTATCATCTATACAAGCAAGGACCTCATAGGTGCACCAAAAAAGAAACTAGAGATAAAAAGGTTAACCCTTACATTTCCAAAATCAATTTATATCCCTTCAAACACTCTCTCCCTCTCCTTCCATACAACCCACATAAAATATAACTCGCAAACCACCTACCCCATTAACAAGGCAACATAATTCAGGTCCCAGAAACTTACTTTGTGCCAAATATTAGCAGCATGGTGGACAATAGTCAAAATATGCTAATAACTATCAAGGGAAGAGAATGCAGGTTATTACCTTCTGATAGAAGTTGTGGAATGTCGAAGAAACAGTAGTGCATGTCCTGAGAAAGAAGATTATCAGAGCCCAAAAAAAGTATTTAGAGAAAGTCGTATAATAGTAGATAAAAGGCATTGGTATTGTGTGATATATTCAGTTGATTATCATTCCAGTAAGTTCTTATCTTATTTGAGCATCAAAATATATCTTGCTCATTACAACCCCATTCTTTATCTTGGAGATATCAGACATCGACACTCATTTGACATTGAGCAAATCTAGCATAATGAAGCATCCCGTCAGTATCTCATAAAGTTTAGATTCCCTATTCAGAAGCATCTGTAAATATTTTAAGCTTCAAGTCCCTGCATGCTTAACTCCAGAACCAATTGCCACCACTCAGATACGCATATAAGATCCCTGGTCCTCTATATTTGACCAAGACCTACCAGAAAGAAAGATGCAACATTCCTTGGGTATGTTGTTGTTTGTTGTTAATGCGGTGTATGTTTCTTAGAACTTATAGCCTAAGTTGCTCGGACTCGGTGCGGGTGTCCGATACAGGTGCAGATCTAGATGTTGGATCCTTCGTGATCTAATTTTTAAAATTAGGGGATATGGATGCATGTAAGGATATGGGTGCAGGGATTCTCCTAAAACTTATTAAAATATCTAAAAGAGGAGTTAGAAAACCTAAATTATGAGATATTATGGGAGAACTTGAGGAGAATCTGGAAGGAGATTAACGGAAAAGGAGTGACATAGAAATTTCTAGATAAAAGGTATTTCATTTTCTTCAATTTCACCTTAGCTTTTGTATTGATTACAGACAATCATTAAAACTGTCCACACTTAACCCATTGATTTTGGTCAAAGCACCCAAAATCGGTTGACCAAACTGGACACGGATCCCACACCCATGTCGTGTCGACACGGGTGTGGCACCCAAAGTGAAGAGTCCGAGCAACTTAGCTTATAGTTTGATGTTGGAATCTATGTTGTTATTTTTGCAAAAGCACTTCATGTTTTCTTGGTATTTTCAATTTTAGTAGTTTTAATACTCTCTCCGCTATAAAAAGAATACCTCTTTCCAAAGTTACCAAATTCAAAGAAAACAATGCCTCTTCCCTTTTTTTGGCAATTCTTAATTTCAACGTGTCACAAGTAGAGTCTGAGCATCTAAGCTATACCTTGATATTGGAATCTATGTTGTTATTTTTGCAAAAGCACTTCATGTTTTCTTCGTATTTTCAATTTTAGTAGTTTTAATATTCTCTCCGCTATAAAAAGAAAGCCTCCTTCGAATGTTACCAAGTTCAAAGAAAAGAATGCCTCTTCCCTTTTTTTTTGGCAATTCTTAATTTCAACGTGTCACAACTCACATGACATGTTTAATTCCACAAGATTAAGGACATTTTGGTACATTATACACATCTTTGGTTTATCTAAACTCGAATAAAAATTGAACCTTCAACCAAAAATTCTTATTTGAACAACTTTTTATTGTCATTGATCTATTTGAGTCATTACTAAACAAAAATAGCTTACTCAATCTCCACAATTGCTTATTCATATGCTACTATGAGTTCAAGACAGGCCGTTATGGTGAAATTGGTAGACACACTGCTCTTAGGAAGCAGTGCTAATGCATCTCGGCTCGAGTCCGAGTTGCAGAATACTATCTTCTAAAAAGGATAAATAGATCTTATAATGAATTCAATTTCCGATTTCAATTTAAAATTATGTAATTACGGGGCTCTTCTTTTTAAAGTCTTTTTATTATATTTTCAACCTTGAGCACACATGAACTCACATTTCCTTTTCAATCATTTCAATTGTAATTGTTAAAAAGTCCCACATCGGAAGAGGAATGGGAAATTGGACTCCTTATATGGACTTGGATAAACCTCCCCTCATGAGCTAGCTTTTGAGGTTGAGGTAGACTCATGTGTCATATCTTTATATGGTATTAGAGTTAGACTCATCTAGTTTGTTGTTCACCGATTTTGGGTCCTCATTTATAACGGTTCACGCTCTAGTTGAGGTCTGGGCGTACGTGAGAATGTTAAGAAATCCCACATCGGAAGAGGGATGAGAAATTGGACTCTTTATATGGAAATGGACAAACTACTGCTCATAAGTTGGGGTTGAGTTGCGTGCAGATGCCATATCTTTACAGTAATTACCATTCATTTGATAACCTTTATAGTCAATGAAATCGTAAAACTATATGATTCATCAGAAAAAGGCAATAGTTGCTCTTTTCTATATAACAAGATTATGTTGTTCGTTGGATTTCTTCGGGACATTTCCCACTAAGCGATTTATATGAATCATTAATTTTCCTTTCATGGAGTTTCTCCCTAATTCATATAATTCTGTATTTCAAAAAAATTGTTATAATTTTAAGTAAAATAACTGGACCAAGTGCTATTTTGATCCAAGTCTACTAGATTCAAAAAAATTATTTACTTTCTTAAAGTTTATGTCAAGTCAAAACCAGACAAACATTTGAAACAACATGAGCAGTTATTAAGGCTTTATACAGTTCATGAACAATTGTTCTTCTACCACCTTCTGATATACTATTCTAGCAACCAAGCAGCTTATTCCTCTCACATGTACCCAACATATATTGTAACATTTCACATCCAAAACAAGAAAAATAAACTTCAAAATCTTGGCACATCATCAGTAAAACAATGACAGACAACATCTCCCTTACATAGTATATATTAGGGAAGTTGATGTTTGAAGAGTAAAGGAGAAATATTCATATCAAGTTGCCAGAAAACAAAAATAACCAGGCCCAACTAAATTCTCACTTGGGGGGACTAAATGAATCTCCCACTTGCTGCCACAACTTGTATCCAGTTACCTACAGAGGTAAAGTAGCTTAATAGTACACCATCAAAAGTACGTGAGAATAACATAAAATTCATCTCAAAGACTCATAGCATATTGCATCATTAATTAATCAACCTAGTAATAGAGGAAAATACACAACCACCATTTGAATTTTTTTAATTATACTTTAAACTACTGAGCTACATTGCTTATTTCTTAAAAATAAATTAAGAATACCCTCTCTAACAACTCGAGGTTCACACTGTGATATTTGGAAAGAGAAACATAGCCCTCCAGGGATGCTTTACACACGACTATGTGAACAAGCAACAAAAATCCTATAACAAAAATGACCACATAAAATCATGGTTAATCCAGACACAATTCCTCGACTTAGTGCAGTTGATTGTTGACCCACTGCTTCTGATTAGCTGAGGACATTTTGGGTAAGTGGCTAATATCCTCTGCAGTTCTTGATTCAATTAATATAGTCAAACATCTCCGCAATTCATTTTAGAAGGATTCCTTCAAACTATAATTGGAATTGGATTAAATTAACTCAATGGAAAATCTGGCCTTGCCACCATACGTCAATCAGATTGTACTTTCAGCTAAATTAAATAAATTATATGGTATATTCAACTGGGCTAAAGTAAATCGATTAATTGAAGAAAATGCTTGAGAAAGCTACTAAGAGACCATGAGAATTAAGCACTGAAATGATCCAAGGGACATGAGCGCAACAAAAAAGGAAGAGAAGACAGAATAAAGAATAGAAGAAAAGGATTGCACAACATGAACCAACATTAAGCAAAAAAGTCCTCAGAAAAAATTAAAAAGTAAATTCAGATTCAGTTTTAAAAAAAGTTAGTTTGCAAAGCAGACGTGAAAGGGAAAACATAATAACCTATACAAAGTCCAAATAGTATAAAATCTCACCTTACAGTATAATCAAGACTCAGTCACATCGACTGTACAACAACCTAGTAAAATCTATAATGTTGCAGTATAAATTAGAGTTGATTAAATACATGTGCAGAGTAAAAGGCTTACCCGATCATAGCCACCTAATCTGATCACAAATCTCCATAACCTAGCAGGAAGAACATGACAAGATTTAATATGTACCAGGAACAAGATGAAAATAAAAAGGCTCAATGATAAAACCATAATACACTCACTTTAAGCAGTTAAGTTGATGACCATAAAACCTAGGTGGTTTAAATTCCATCGCCTTCTCCCGGTAAAACGTTCCCAGTTTTCCTAAAAAGGCAGTTTGATCCTCAAGGGAGCCTTCATTATCCTCACAATCAGTCATCTGAAATTTGAAACGAATGATCATTTTGAAAAAGCGAATGATCATTTTAATAGGGAAATTTGAAACGAATGATCATTTTGCAATGGTATATCAGAGTATGTAACATTGCAAAAATATTCTCAGATGCTTCCCCACTATGCTCTCCAGCATTTGCAGTTGAAGGATTGATCAGAAACATTGGACTAGCTGGTTCTAGTGTTTTTCCAATTGAAGAATCAGTAACTTCAAATTTCACTTTTGGAAACTCGCACGACCTAGCATCACCATCAGCGGTAACAGTTGTAGGGTTTGCTTCCATTTGAGGGTCCTCATAGATCATTTTCTCACTTTGGTGAACTAATTCACTTCTCATTCATCAATATTTTGTACTTTATCATCAGTCAACTTCAGATAGCCACTTGTCATATCATCCGTTCCAACATCAATAGTAGGTGTTTTGTTCTCCAGCACCACATTGTCGTATGCCTCTGGCTGACTCTTAGAGTTGACTTGGACCTCAACATTGCTTTTGCCAGTCTTAACATCATTTTCGTACTTGGCCGGTGACTCCTTGGACACAAGGACATCACTAGCAGGGACATTCTTTTCAGCATCCAGCATCTCTACATCACCCTTATCCATTCTGACAACTAGTGATAGACAACATATCATATGTATCAAATTTTGGCATTCTAATACTCATCTCCTCAAGAAAAGAACCCAAAAGTAAAAGGAAAGGGAAGAAATAACTTCAAAAAAGACTGATATGCATCACTCATTCCACTAGTTATATGATTCTCTACAAATTTCATACCTTTATTTCAAAATTCATGAATAACTTAACTTGAAAAACATAAAAAAGTTGTTTCCACCTTTTTCACTCCAAATCACTCGCAAAGACTCAAAATTACTTTTTTTTTTTCAAATTTTCTTAATTTTCATGGCCAAACTCCCTTATACATAAAATCTATTAGCAAAAGCATGCATTCCTCCACACAAAAAAACCCCTAACCCTAGTTTCATCAAAACAGAATTGAGGATACAAAAACAAACAGAAAAAAAATCTTGTTTTTCATTCCCGTTTGTTAACTCCAAACAAAATGAAAACTAAAAAAAGGTCCTCCCGCCGACCAATTCACCGGAAAAAAATATCAAAACTTCATCCACATCTCAAATGTGTTTAGTTTTATCATTTTTTTCAAAAATAGAGAAACGTTCAACGGATAAAAAAGTAATGCCGGTGAGTAAAACAACATATAGGAATCCATCAAATTCAGCAACAAGTAGGAATCTGCAAACGAAATCGGAGGTTGATGAAGCAAAGTAGCTTAACAAAGAAGGAAACGATTGTGAGCTTAACCCTCTAATGGTGTCTTTTGCTTCTTCAAATATTTTTGGCACTAAGTAACTGAAGAGTGTGAGTAGGATATGAGTTAATTCTTTTGTCTTTATATGGGACTTTTTGAGAAAATGACTAAAATGGTACTTAATTTACTAGTAATGTTTTATTGTGGTCTTTTTAATATATTTTAGGAATAATTTCAATTGTATATAATAAATTAGTAATTAGTTTATAACAAATATAGTCATATAATTAAAAATCATTGAAAGTATACATTGACTATATGTATAATATAGTTTGTTAAAAGTCATATAAAGTATATAATGAGTATTGGCTATTTAATATAGCGTATCTATACATGACGATATACTCAAAAAAATAAATATAGCTTAATTATATATGAAGTATGCATTGACTATACATGAAGTATACATTGATTATTCATTCTCGATCAGCTCGAAATCACCTTTAAATAGTATCAAAATTTGGATATGAAATTCTCTTGATATTTTGAGTCTTTTGATATATAATTCACTCGAAATGATTCACGTTTGCGGTACATCAAATTTTAAAGAAAAAACAACAAAGAAGAAGAAGAAGAAGGAGAAGGCGACGGAGAAGGAAAAGGAGAAGGAGAAGGAGAAGGAGAAGAAGAAGAAGAAGGAAGAAGAAGAAGAAGAAGAAGAAGAAGAAGAAGAAGAAGAAGAAGAAGAAGAAGAAGAAGAAGAAGAAGAAGAAGAGAAGAAGAAGAATAAGAAGGAGAAGAAGAGGGAGGAGGAGGAGGAGGAGGAGGATGAGGGAGGAGGAGGAGGACGAGGAGGAGGAGAAGAAGAAAATGACACAGAAAGAAAAATGAAAGACGATGTGGAAGAAAAAAAAGATGAGGAGTAGGGATAGCAATGGGCGGGGTGGGTGCAGGGTGGGTTGAGCTTAACCCGCAAATTTTTCAATCAGCCGCGCATAACAAATTTTTCATTTTCAACTCGCCCTACCCCGTCCTGCATAACAACGTTTTTCATTTTCAACCTGTCCCGCATAGACCCGTTCCGCATAATTTTTCTAATATCTTCTTTTTTCTAGTAAAGTTTGATACTAAAAGTTAAATTCATAAAAATAAATTTATTTTTTCATTAAGTAGTATTAATTTTATAGGATAGTGACTTAAAATTCTATTTTTTCGCGGTCAATTGGGAAACATTAAGAAATTATATTATTTTTTATTGAACCATTTTCTTTTACTATCTTGAATACTTTAGTAGCTTTAATGAAATTATTTTAATAAATAATGCTCGATCACTCTTATAACATGTAAAAAGTTAAAATTAAATTTAAACCTACATAAAATTTCATATACCCGCAACCCTCTCCGCACCGTATTAATTCTTAAAAAATCCACTTCAACCTGCCCCACATCCCACCCGCCCGGCTCGCATAGGCTTAAACCCACCCCATCTGCATCCGCTCCGCCTCTTTGTCATCCCTAAGGAGGAGGAAGAAATTAAGAAAAGAATTCATTAATGGCGAAATGGGAAGAAAGAAAAAGAAGATTAGAAACCATTATTGGCGAACTAGAAAGGCAGAAGAAGAAGGTTTGGATAATTTTAGTAATTTTGAAAATTCAACTAAAATTTTGGTAATGGAAATAGTTAAATGGTCATTTCTTATAATTTTTCATATATTTTACTTGATTGAAATCGTTCTTAATAACAAAAGGTGATCATTTCGGTTGTTTATCCTCAACCTAACAAATTTATCAAATAAAAAGAGAGAGACTATCTAATTACACAACATTCCTACAATATTTATTATTGGAAAAACTAAATAAATGGTCATAAAATTCAAAATAATTACATGTTCATACCCTCAACTCAAAGTAATTCAAGAAATACACATTCTCTCAGAAAACAAATTACAGCCCATACCCCCAATTCATTAAGGCTGATAATTTTTACTTAACTGATACTAAATCAATATCATATTTTGCATTGATATCATAAAGGCGGATAATTTTTCTTAGCTGATACTAAATCAGTAAATATATATTGTATAGGTACCATTAAGGTTTCTTGTTAAGAAATTACTCATTAGTCAATGATACTATAAAGTATATGTATATTGTTGTGGTATCATTAAAGTTTCTTGTTCAGAAATTACTCATTAGTCAATGGTACTATAAGAGTATATGCATATTTTTGTGGTATCATCACGACTTCTTGTTCAGAAATTACTCATTAGTCAATAATATTATAAGAGTATTTGTATATTGTTGTGATATCATTAAATTTTCATATTCAGAAATTATTCATTAGTTAATGATATTATAAGGGTATATGTATATTGTTGTGGTATCATTAAGCTTTCTTGTTCAGTAATTACTCATGAGTCAATGATACTATAATAGTATCATTGACTAATGAGTAATTTCTGAACAAGAAACCTTAATGATACTAATACAATATATATATATACTAATTTAGAATCAATTAAGCGAAATTATCAGCGTTAATGATATCAATACAATATATGAGACTGATTTAGGGTGTGTTTGGTATGAAGGAAAATGTTTTCTTGGAAATAAATGGATTTTAACTTATTTTCTCATGTTTGGTTGGTGAGTAGAAAATATTTTCTGGAAAATACTTTTTAATGTTTGGTTGGTGAATGAAAAATAATTTTCAGAAAATATCATTTATTTTTTGCTTGAGACTAAATGATACTATTTAGGAAAGTAATTTTTGATTCGAAAATCAACTCCGATAATTGATCTAAGACCCGACCCCGACACCCAAACTAGGACAAGACACTGATAACCATTCAAGAATCCGACCCAGGACCTGACCAAACTTTCGACCTAGGATTTTTTTTTTCAAAATTCAGTTTTTAAAAAACCTAAATTGACAGGGTCACGGGGTGGGAGGGGGTGGGGCTGGAGGTTAGCATAAAAAGAATTTATTTAAAATTTAAAATATTTTCCAAAAGCAATTTTTAAAAAATAATAATAATTTGAGGGGTTGGCCTGGGTGTGGGTGGTGCGGGGAGGGGTTCAAATACTTCCCAAAAACAATTTTTTTTACGGAATGGCATGGGTAGGGTAGGGGTAGGGGGTTAGCGTTAAAATGAAAAAAATTTAAATTTGAAATATTTTCCAAAAATAATATTTCGTTTTAAAAAAATTGACGGGAATGGCCTAAGGGTGGTGGCGGCTGGAGGGGGAATTAATTTGTTTTAAAAACAATTGACGGGGGTGGCCTTATTGGGGGGTGGTGTAAAAAATAAATTGAAATATTTTTCAAAAGCAATTATTTTTGCAAGAGGGGAGGGGATAGGGAGTAGGGTTGGTAGGGATTGGATGAGGTAAAAAAATCTTAAAATTTGGAACATTTTTCAAAAATAATTTTTAGATCTTTTATCTTTTTGTTGAAGGGAGGGGGGGGGGTGTAGGTTGGTGGTAGGAATAAAAATATATTTGAAATTTAAAAAATAAGAAAATTTAAAAATTTTAAATTTACTTTTGAATGGGGAGGGTTGGGTAGTATGGGTAAGGTAAGAAAATAAAAATTAAAGGATGAAGTAGAGTTTGTTAACTTGTTATTTTCTGAATAATGACAACTCACAGGAATCAATAAGAAGCATCGTGGGAATCATGGACACTATGGAAAACAATACAGAGAAGAAGCTTATGACATCTAGATCCCAGTCAGGATTCGTGAAGAAATACATGGAAGGAAAGAGATCTGAAGTCATGAAGTACAAACAGTTGAAGAAGGAAATAGAATATCTGTCAATCAATCAACCAAGATTCATGGAAGAAGATCGGCCAAAATTCAAGGAAGAATACATCAGCCAAGAATCAGGGAAGGAATTGAAGATCAGCCAAGATTCAAGGAAGATCATCTAACAAAGGAAGAATTGATTTAATCATGCACATATCTGATATAGACATGATTCAACAAATTAATTAAAGTAAAATCAAGGGATCATCTTAAGGATCCTTGATTTACAACTCCCTTGGGTTTCCGAAACAGAGCAACAACCATCCACATCTATATAAACCTTTCTTAGTCTTAGTTGTGAAGTACGCAACTTCACTTGAGCTTATAGTGAAATCTTCTTTTATCTTTCATAAAGCTTTGTAATCACGAGAGTGAAACAATTGAAAAGAAATGAGAAAGAAAGATTTTGAGTGTAGGTTTACAAGTAGAGGAAGTGTCAAGGTAGAACATTTGAATTGCATATCAGACATGATTAACTTACAGAAACCCTGTACATCCGAAGTTAAGTTCAAAGCTCTGAAGGAAACCCTTGAAACTCAAGGGGACTAGAAGTAGGCACCACATCGGTTACGAACCAGTATAAACTCTCTGTGTTTTTACTTTCTGCAAATTACTATTACTGTTTATCTATTCTACTAACGTGCAGGTGAGTCGACTGACCATTATAGGAAGTCGAATAAAGGAAATTTTAATTCACCCCTCTCCCCTCTTGAATTTCAATTGGTATCAGAGCAGGTCTCACTATTTCAGTGTTTAACCACACATGACAAAAGATCCAATGGCACACTATCAGATCCCTGGTGCTCTACGTCAAGATGGACATTTTTCACACCGGCCACCATACTTCAATGGACAACATTACTCTCACTTGAAAGAAAGATTCAGAATCTTTGTCTCTAGAAATGATCATCAAGCATGGATAGTGATCAAGAAGGGCCCAAAGCCTATTCCTGGATTGACTGAAAAAGATGGCACTGAAAAGCCATTTGATCCTGAATCATTCGATATCACTAAGGAACAATAAGAGGTAATTCAAACTAATGCTAGAGCTATAAGTTTGTTATATTATGCAGTGAGTGGAGTCGAATATGACAAGATATCAACATGTGAAACTACGAAAGAAATGTGGGACAAACTAGAAGTGACTTATGAAGGAACCACTAAAGTAAATGAAGCTCAGATCAGTTCACTTGTAAATGAATATGAATTATTCAAAATGGCCGAAGATGAAAACGTTGAATCCATTTTCTCGAGATTCAGTAAAATTGTATGTGAACTCAAATCACTTGGAATGGTGTATTTAAATGCACTACAAGTCAGGAAACTCGTTAGAAGTCTTCCCAAGGCTTGGGAAACTAAAGCTGCCATTCTTGAAAATGGAGATCTGCAGAAAATGACATACGATGATCTTCGAGGCAACTTAATTGCCTATGAACATAATCATATTAACAGATACAACAAAGATGATAAAAAGAAAATGGAAGCATTTACAGCCGAGACATCTGAAGTTGGAGAAGAAACTGATGAATAACAAGATGAAGGAATGACCCTTATAAATCAGGGAGTAAGTAAAATGCTTAGACAAAGAAGACAAAACCTCAACAAGATCCTAAAAACACGTAGTTTAAGAGAAATGATAATCGATGCTACTACTGTGGAAAATTTGGATACATCAGGCAAAACTATCGGGAATGAAGAAGAAGACACAACCAGACGATCCAAAAAGCCTCGGAGCCTGGGATCAAGGAGAAACAACCGATGATGATCATGATGAATTTGCTAACCTATGTTTCATGGCGCTAGGTGAAACAAGTAAGGTAAGACCTTATAACAGTTCAAATTGTAATGACTTACAAAACTCCTTGGACATGGTTGCTGATGAATTACAGAAAGTTATAGACGAATACAATAAAATTGCTCAAGAAAAGAAGGACTGGCAGATTCTTCTCGAAGCAAGTCAGATTGAAGTTGATTTACTAATAGAAGAACTGGAGGAAGTAAAAATGCAGTGAATAGCATCAGAAAATCTCCCATTCACAGTTCTGTAAGATCTAATAGAACTATTCGTTATAGGAGAAATTCTCATAATCATAGCTCCAACAGATCAAATAGATCTAATTCTAATTCTCATATTCCTGAATCTTCTATTAAAATTACTTGCTATACTTGTGGTTATCTTGGTCACAAATCCTTTAACTGTAGAAAGTATTCTTCTGGAAAATGGATCTGAAGACCAAAAGTTACTAATCATCAAGGATCCAAAAATACTTGGGGTACCTAAAAGAAACTAATCTTATTATTTTACAGGAGCAATCGAAGAAAACCTACAAAAAGGGGATGTGGGTATTTGACAGTGGATGCTCCAGACATATGTGCGGAAAGAAAGAAAATTTCAAAACTATCAAAAGAATTGATGGAGGATGTGTTCGATTTGGAGACAATGCTAAAGGAGAAGTAACTGGAGTTGGAACCATCACTTTTAGTTCATCATGCGATCTAGTCGAAGTGTACTTGGTTGAGGAACTAAAACATAATCTCCTCAGCATCAGTCAACTATGTGACACTGGATTTCAAGTCAGATTTAATACAGTTAGCTGCATCATCAAACATCCTGAGAAAAAGCTCACTCTCATCGAAGATCGAGTTAATAATATCTATGTCTTAAATAATGTTGATTTTCCATATCTTACATGTCTTACTGCAGTCTCAAGTGATCCTTGGCTATGGCATCGAAAGTTTGGACATGCAAGCATGCATGCACTCGAGAAACTATCAAGACTTGAACTGGTCATTGGTCTGCCAAAGTTAAAGTTTGAGAAAAATCACATTTGTGACGCATGCCAATTGGGTAAGCAGACTCGTTCATCCTTTAAAACAAAAGACATTGTAAGTACATCTAAACCTCTTTAGCTTCTTTACATGGATCTGTTTGGTCCTACTCGAACTGCCATCATTGGAGGTAAACGATATGCATTCGTAATTGTTGATGACTTCTCAAGGTTTACATGGGTAATTTTTCTCACTCATAAAAATGAAGCTTTTGCTAACCTTGAAGTATTTTGTAGAAAATTTGAAAAAGAAGCAGGTTACTTCATTACAACTATTCACAGTGATCATGGTGGTGAATTCGAAAATAAAGTTTTTGAAGAATTCTGTGCTGAAAATGGCTTTTCTCAAAACTTCTCTTCACCTAGATCACCTCAGCAAAATGGAGTGGTACAAAGGAAAAATCGTTCATTACAAGATACAACAAGAACAATGCTACTTGATTAAAGACTCCCTGATCACTTTTGGGCAGAAGCACTAAGTACTGCTTGTCACATTCTTAACAGGTGTCTTATCAGGCCTATACTAAAGAAGACTCCTTATGAACTCTGGAGAGGAAAGATACCTAACATCAGCTACTTTCATCCTTTCGGATGCAAATGTTTTATCCACAATAATGGTAGGAACAATCTTGGAAAATTTGATCCAAGAAGTGACGAAGATATTTTTCTAGGCTATGCACCTATTAGCAGGGTCTTTCGAGTCTTTAATAAAAGAACTTTAAGTGTTGAAGAATCTGTTCATGTGGTATTTGATGACACTAATCCAAGAATACAGGAAAGTGAAGCAGGTGAGGATGAAATTGATTCATCCAAACCAATAGAAAATATTCCAAAATGTCCACTGAAAAATCTCACTGAAGAGCCAGTTACTGCAGAAGTAGAGTCGACTACTCTAGCTGACAAAGTCAACATTTCCAGGGAATGGAGACACAATTCCAGCTATCCTGAAAACTTCATTCTGGGAAAACCAGATGAAAAAATCCAGACAAGATCCTCTCTCAAGAAACAACCTTCATTTGATCTCATATCCCAAATGGAACCAAAACGAATAAATGAAGCAATGGAAGATGAATCGTGGATACAAGAAATGAAAGAAGAACTTGATCAATTTGAAAGAATCAAGTGTGGACTCTTATTGAAAGACCTAAGAGTTGTTCTGTAATAGGAACCAAATGGGTATTTTGAAACAAATTGGACGAAAACGATAAGGTTATCCAAAATAAAGTGAGGTTAGTAGCTCAAGGTTACTCACATCAAGAAGGAGTCGACTATGATGAAACCTTCGCTCCTATGGCAAGGTTGGAATCTATTCGAATTCTTCTAGCTTTTGCTTCTTTCAATCGTTTCAAACTTTTTTCAAATGGATGTTAAAAGCGCTTTCTTAAATGGATTTATCAAAGAAGAAGTGTTTGTTAAACAACCTCTTGGTTTGAAAATCCCTAGTGTCCTGATTATTTTTTTAAACTATCAAAAGCTCTCTACGGTCTAAAACAAGCTCCAAAAGCTTGGTATGCAAGACTGAGCACTTTTCTTATTAAAAATGATTTTCCAAGAGGGAAAATTGATACTACCCTGTTTACAAAAAAATTTGATTCCTCCATTCTTAGGGCATCTCCAACCCTAATCTCTATTTTACTCTCCAAATATAGAGTTACTCTATTTTATCAGACAACCAACTCCAACCCAATTCTCTATTTTACTCTCTAAAAAGAATCTTGTTCTCTCTCCTCAATATTATATTATTATTTCTATTTCATTATTATTTTCTTATTTCATGATACACATCCTTTATTCCTTTTTTCCAAATAATCACTTTATATAATATTCATGTAATATAAAAATTTATTTTTCAAATTCATTACTTAATATAAAAATTATATTTTTCCTAAATTTATAAATAACATAAATTGCAAGTTAATACTATATAATATACAAATTAATGGACAATTCAAATAAACGTGAAATTATTAGTGAAATATAATTATATAAATACTCTACTTTCAAGATTATTACATTGCTCTCATAAATGCTCTATTAATGCATTACGGAGTTCAAAATGA